GCATAGTGAGGGAGAGGGAAAAAATGGAAAAAAAGTCAAATTGAGGAAGCATAGTACGAAGAAAAAATGTGATAGATAACAGTAATACTGTTTAGATACAGTGGTCAGGGAAGAACAGGTGATGTTTAATCTGAACGTAAAGAATAAAAAGGAGGGAATTATGGAAGCGGGTGGGCAGTATTCCAGGTAGAGGGAATAGTATGCAGAAAGAGCTCGGAGTATTCGATGAATCAGAGGAAGACTAGTGTGGCTAGAGTGTAGTGGGAGAGAGATGAAGATGGGATGTAGCATGAAGCCAGAGTGATAGGCAGGTGCCCCATCGTGTAAAGTCTCATAGGCCGTCGCACACAAATTGGATTTTACTCTAAGGTCATGAAGATTTTCAAGCAGGTGTGTGATGTGATCAAATTTATGTTTTAAGATGATCACTCTTGCTGCTATGTGGAGGATGGATTAAAATGGGGCAAGAGTGGAAGACAGAAGACCAGTTAGGAGCATACTGAAGTAGTCCAAGTGAAAGATGAGGTGGCTGGGACTAAAGTGGGGAAAGATGAGGTGGAGAAGAATGGATCTTAGATATGTTTTGGAGGCAGACTGGACAGGACTTACTGATGGATTGGACATGGTAATGTGTGAGAAAGACAGAAATCAAGGTTCACTTTTAGGTTTCCGATCTGAGCCGTTGGATGGCTTGTGCAGCATATCAATTGGAATGATTTGGGCCAGAGTAACAGAAAGCTTTGGCCGAAACAAAAAGAAATGTATGGGTTCATGTAGGTTCAGAGGTAGGACAGGCTTCAGGGTTCACTCAACTCCAGCAGTTCTTGAGGAGTCTAGCTTGTGGTTAAAAACCTATGTAGGATTTTTTAGGCCTAACCATAGGTACTAACAAAAGCTTTACCTGGCAGTCCTCACAGGGGAATATCTGCCCTCCCTAACCAGACTTGGTGCACAGCCAGTGCACTGCAGTCTCTGAGGGGCAGAGATCTTCTTTAGGCTCCTCTGATGAGACCTCCTTATGGGGGCAGGAGGAGTACTTTTCCACTCCTAGCCCTTCCCTCTCACGCCCTCCCTCCCCAGGGTCCATAAACCTGTTGCAGCCTTTTGTTCAGTGAGACCATCCCCAGTGCAGATCCACCTGACCCGTGACCAGTGCTCTGTTCCATGGAGAGAATAGAACAGAGGGAGTCACACTTGGTTTGGTTTTAACCTCTTGCTCATACCACAACAGTAAGTGATTAAAGGTTTAACCCTTTCATTTCTGGCTTGCTGTTTATCAGCCATTCTGACGCCTGCCAGCTCTCTCTCCTTCTCTTTTTTTATTGAATGTCATCAGGTCAGGATATGGTGTCTGGAACTACCAGGGCCATCTCACCATTATCCTGAAGATAAAGTGAACACATGGAGTAGCGCAATGCTGCAAGACCTGTGGAGAAGTGGAGCCAGAGCTGTCAGGAGCTCAGCTGAGCTGGGAGAGGCCAATAAGCAAGTTTATTTCTTTTTAGAATTCTATGACAACTTGTTTTGTTCTAAGGATTATGGTATTTGAAAAGAATTTTATACTATAATATGCTGTACAGACATTAACAATTATTATTGTGTCATTCTCCCTAAAGCAGAATTCCTGCTGTGGGTTCAGAAGAACTGAATTCTAGTCCTGGCTCCATTACATACAGTGATTTAATCATTTAATCTTTATAAGTCACTTAATCTTTATAAGCCTCATTAATCTCTATCTGCCTATCCCATGTAGTTATGAAGACTAAATGTGATAGGATATTTTAAAACTATAAAGATTTTGATCAACCCAATTATTTAAAAATCATGTCAGGGGCTGGCCCCGTGGCTTAGCGGTTAAGTGCGCGCGCTCCGCTGCTGGCGGCCCAGGTTCGGATCCCGGGCGCGCACCGACGCACCGCTTCTCCTGCCATGCTGAGGCCACGTCCCACATACAGCAACTAGAAGGATGTGCAGCTATGACATACAACTATCTACAGGGGCTTTGGGGGGAAAATAAATAAATAAATAAAATCTTAAAAATCATGTCAGTATTATAATTTCAGAACTCAGCATCTCTCTTTTCCTCAACTCCAAACTCCAAATTTCTGCCTTTCTCAAGCCACAGGCTCTGGGGTGTGTGGACCGCTGGGTTTGAATGAGGCCTTGGGTTCTTTGGAAGTCCTGGCTCAGAGGAGTGCCATAACAGCTGCTCTACTGTGCACCAGCCCAGCTACTAGAAATGTGTGGGAGGAGGCAGCGGTGGGGTGGGGAATGGGCAGGAAAGTAGCTTGGAAGATGCTTGCCCCCAGACATCTCTGGAACTCCTTGTAGGGCAGATTGATTTAGCACTGTGTGAGAGTTCAGGGACTTCCTGGCTCCTGAGGGCCAAAAAAGGAGTTGTGTAGCTGCCACTGAGCTGGGAGACTACAAAGAGATAAGGGAGCAGGAAGACTTCCTCCACGTCCTTCAGCAGGGGCCCTGCAACCTGCTCATTTCTTTACCATCGGCCCCTTGGGGTTAAAAACCACTTTGCCTTCCACCATTGTTTCACTGCCATCATTTAGAGTGCTCTAAAAACCAGATTTGAGCTCCAAGTAGACAACTAAGGAAAACAGCCACTAAAGTGTCCCCCAGACAGAGAAAATAAGTTCAGTTAGGACAGATAGAACGCACACCTAGCAAAATAGAACTACTGAAAGGGCTCACCCTCACCCTTACCAGTTCATTACACCGTGCTGCCTGGACTTCCAATTGCTAGCATCTGCATTTCTTTGCTTTTCTGGCCACCAGAGCCTGCCTTGCTGCCCCTGTGGCAGGCTGGGGTGCAGGCCCCAGGAGCAGCCCTCACCCAATGGCTGATGGAAGTTAGTATGTAAACATTCTGTCTTCCTCACCTCTTAAGTGGCATAACTCTGAGGTGTGCGTTTTATACTGGCCTCCCAAGTTCTCCAGTGAGATTAGCTCCAGTTAGTCACAGTGCTAATAGCTTCTTTGATAATTATCCTCTTATTGGCTTTTTCCACTTTCTTGACTCGTTTCTCTGCTCTGCTACCCGTCTCTCCCAGGATCACCTCCCACATAAACTATGCTCTCGAATCCTTGTCTCAGGGCCTGCTTCTTAGGAAACCCAAACTAGCCCTGTACTGTGCCAGGGGGACTGAATAAAGCAAATAGAATACTCCAGCCTGTGCTCCCCTATTTGACTCCCAGAAGACCTCCAGTTTGGCCTGGATTTTCTCTTTATGGAATTTGAGCAGCTGGAAATAACGACCTACAGAGACCAATGCCAGGTGTTCCCAACCAACAGCCCAGCCAGATCATCCCACAGTGAAGGTCTCAGGAAACAAGTCCTGCCCTCCTGCTGGGAGCTTCCAATCAGCTTTTATAGCACTCCAGCTTTTCAGTTTCCTACTCTTAAATGTGAGTGAATAGTTGAGCAGCACCAGAAAACTTCTAATATGGTAGATGGAGACCAAATTAATAGCAAAAACCAGCTGAGAGGAATAAGAGACTACTCAGAAAGAAGAAAACTTTTAAAACGTATTATTAATATCTTCATAGGGATAAGAAATCTATGAAGCAAGGCTATGACACCACAACAAAAGGACATTTGAACAAAAAAGAGAAATCAAGAAAAGTAAAAACTCTATAGATGGCTGGAAGATAAATTTGAGGAATTCTCCAATAAAGAGCAAAAAGACAAAGATGGAAAAGAGGTGAGTGAGATATATGGTAACAGGGCTCTTTGATATCAAGTTTGGGCTTGATCATAACGCAGAAGCTGATGTAGGGGAGCTGTTAGAAGCTGAAAAGATAGTAACCTGCTCATATCTGAACAAAACTTGGGTAGGCTGGCCTGCTGGCATAGTGGTTAAGTTCGTGAGTTCGGATCCTGGGCATGGACCTACTCACTGCTCATCAAGCCACGCTGAGGCAGCATCTCACATAGACCTAGAAAGATATACAACTAGGATATACAAGTATGTACTGGGGCTTTGGGGAGGAAAAAGAAAAAGAGGAAGATTGGCAACAGATGTTAGCTCAGGGCCAATCTTCCTCAAAAAAACAAACAAAACTTGGGCAGTTTTACAGGCCAAGAATCTAGGCAGAGGTACCATGTAGGCAGCTCTTGCACTAGTGAGGAGAAATAATGTGAACCTGATGTAAAGACAGTGGACATTTGGACAAAAATTGAGAGAGAAGATGGGAGATTAAATGGTAGCAGGGACTAAACTCCTTGTAAGCAGGTGTGCGTGTGGGCCTGTTGGTCTGATATAAAAGGAGGAAGTTGAAGAATAGATGGATCCAGAGTTTCTCCAAGGATCCCAAATGTATTGGACTCCATTAGCAAGATGAGGAACGAATGAGGACTAGCGGTTGGAGTGGTACGAGTGTGTAGGAGGTGGAATGCAGAATCCCGACTTCAGGTTCAATCAATATTTTCCGATATCTCACTAGATATTAGATACTGGGATAAAGTCCTTGTCTTCACATGCGCCACTGGGCCACCACAAAAATCACAACTCTCTTCAGAGGTTTGTTGTGAAAGGAGGCACAGCTCCCAGCCTGGAGATGGTGGGGGCGGCGGTGAGTATGTGTGCTGACCACCTGGTGACGGAATGATGACAGCACGCCCGTGCTGAAAGCGCCCGCGGGGGTGTGCCCTGCAGAGGCAGGAGCGGCGGCTCCGTCGCAGAGAGGTCGTACGCGTCACGCCGAAGTCCCGGATGTCGGTCTCGGGTTCTATAGCAAAGACCTGAGCCCTCCAGACTTCCTAGTAGAGCTAGGGAGGCATGGTGCGCATGCGCAAGTCCACCCCAGGCCTCAGTCAAAGGCGGCGGGAAGTTGGTTTTCTGAGTAGCTGGTGAGCAGCTTGAAGACGGATTGGAGACGACGGACCAATAAAGAAGCGTTTCATTGGCTTAGCTTGCTTAGGCTCCCGATTCTCCAGCTTCCCATTGAGCCTTTCAAGCAGAGCAGGGGGCGTGACTCCCGGGGCTCCGCCCCACGCCTCGGCCCAGCCGCGGGGTCCAGGGCTGAGGGAGCAGGACGGAAGTGAGCGGGTCCCGCCCCTTCCCGCTCTCTTCGTCCGAGCCGCCGCCGCCGCCGCCGCCGTCGCCGCTGTCCGCTCTCCGGCGAGCCGGAGTCTCCGTGCCGTACCCTCGGTCCCCGGCCGCGCGGAGCCGGGATGCACTGCTCCTGCTGTGGGTCCTCATCATGGAGACCAAACGGGTGGAGATTCCCGGCAGCGTCCTGGACGATCTCTGCAGGTACCGCGGCGCCCCGCGCTGCCCCAGCCCCGTGGAGTCTCCTGGTTTTCTCTCCGATTCGCCGACCCCGGACGCCTCCCGTCTCCCCGCCCGCCCGCATCCTCGTCCTCGCTTTCCGGTCCTGCCCTCCCTTTTCCCCCGTCGACCCTTTTCCCCGACGACACCACCCCTCTTCCGCCGCAGCTTCCCTGTTTCTCACGCCCGCCTCCGTCCTTCCTCGCCGAGCACCGGAATTTCCTCATTTTCTTAGTTCCCCAACTGTTTTGCCCTCCCGCAAACGAAGCTGCTTCGCCAAAGCCTGGGTCTTGAGCCTTTTTTCGGCTGCCCCCTCCCCCTCCCACTGCTTTTTCTGCCTCTCTGACTTTCACAGACCGTTTCCCCCTCCTCCCTCCGTCTCATTCCCCAATTCTGTGGGAAGACCCCAAGATTTCAGGTCTTAGAATCCCAGGTCCCCGGACCTACTCAGCACTTTTCAAACTTACCCTTTCCCACGTGTCTTCCTGCACGTCCGTGCCGTTCTCTGTAAGTTGCTGTAAAGGATTACTGTCTTGTTCACCCCCAAACTTATTGGAAGCAGGAAAAAAAGTCTGGAGTTGCTTTTCATCTCTTATTTATCTTTAAAGATTCACGAGGGCAAGATTTTAACTCGTTGTATACTTTTACAAGAGAAATTTTCTGCATTCTTCCCTTTTGTCAGCTGTGATTTCGGATGACCAAACACGTGTAAAACGGACTTAATTCTTTCTTTTCCCAGCGTAAGATTTTTGGTGAAGTAATACTCTGAGTTGTCGCTGGGCGTAAGTGGGTTGTGAAATAATTTTAATTGCAAGTGAGTAATAACACCTTTTCAATGATAGTTACAGTATTTATGTCTAAAAGTCTGACTTTTAGTAATGTCGCATCCACGCTTTTTTTTGTTTTTTTAATGAGAAGGAAAGAATTAAGATTTGTGGAGTTACTACTGTGTGCCAGGCACTGGGTGCTCCCTTCACATATATCATTTTATTTAATCCTGGAGAACAGTCTTTTTTGGTAGGTGCAGTTATTTCCGTTTTCATCTGACAGACTCAGAGAGGTTGTAATTTACACAAGGTCACATTAATCGTAAGTCAGAAAATCAAGCTTTGAAACCTAGACCTTTTTCTCTGCAATGCCTGTACTTTTTCTCCAGTGCCAGGTGGATGTAATAGAAAATCAAATCTAGCATTTTATACCTCATAAAAGTACACGTAGAATACGTAAGTAGACTAATTTTGCAACTAATAAGAATTAATGTCAGTGTACTTCTTTGGTGATAGTATGATTATAATTTTTGGCATATGATAGATTCAAATGAACCACTTAAAAGACACTTTCTATGATCCCAAATTTTGGAAGAAAAAAAGAGATTTGATGTTTGTATGTCTGTGGATAAATGACTAGAAGAACATGTACCAAAGGTGGGATTATGATTTTTATTTTCTTACTCATCATTCCAAGATTTTTAAAAGGATGTGCATTTTATAGTTAGAAAAAAATTGAAGATGACTATTTGGAAAGGTGAGCAATAATTATATATGGATTAATAGAGATACAGGTTGATTTGGAAAAAAATAGGTGATTTTATACTTTTTAGGCATCTAAACCAATCTTCCTACTAATATGAGATTTATTTTGTATATTATGGAGGATTCATCATTTAGGGAACTGGTATCAACCATTATGAAAGTGATTGATTTTATGTGTGGGACATGTTTACTCACAAAATAATTATGGTTGTGTTTTGTAAACAGAATGTTAAACATCTGTTGAGTGCTCAAGATTCTTACTTCGTTTTCCAGTGAGTGTATTTAAGCTATTCTATACAAATCTTTTGGAATAGAGTAACATTTTTTTTCCTTTAAGAAATTTTTTTTTGCAATTATTGTGTTTTGGCTATATAAATAAGAATGATGTGTTTAAACATTAGGGCTAGCTACTTGATAAACTAATAATCAAATAACCATTTCTTAAAACTTTAGGTTTTAAAAGTAATGCCATTTTCAAGTTAATATTTATAATATCTTTATTAATTTAAGGATTTTTTAATGTTAACAGTTCAGGCTTTTGATTGTGGGCTTTTTCAGAAATGTTTATACTTAGAATTTATGTTTAATTTCTATAAAAATAAAGCTTAAGTTGAAAATGGTTAATTTTTCTGCGCTGCTTTGCTCTTTTAAGTATCTCTTGGTTTATGAGTTTGATCTTGACTTGTTTTTACTCCTTTTATATTTCCCTCAATTCTGCTTATTATTAGTATATTTAAGGAGTTTTTTGATTTTTGATCAATTACATATTCCTGCTAATCTTGCCTACTTCAGTCAGTATATTAATATGTTTTGGAGAAATGTGAAACTTGAGATTGATTTTGATGTGAAAAATGAGAGCACTTAAGTTTCGAAGATGTGCCTTTGTAATTGTTAGACTGCTTATAAGTTAAGATATGGAATATTACTTTTCAGGTGGTTTAATATGCAACATTTCATTTACTGGAATACTGTGCAGCCATAGGCAGTTAGTAAACAGTAAACAGGGATAATATTTGTGTCTTGAAAAGGTGTACACAATATACTATTGAATGTAATACTTAGTCATTTGATGCCTTTTGTTAAAACAAATTTTTAAATGTTTTGTGTGTGTATGTGTGTGTGTATGCACAGGAAAAGTCTGAAAGAATATACACCAGACTGATAACACTGGTTACTTCTGGGTGGAATGGAATTAGAGGAGAGGAAGGGAAGATTATCGTCTAAGATGTTCTAGTGAACAAAAATTGCTTGATAATAAAACATGTTTGTGTATATAAAAATGTAAATGTGCATGATTTTATGGTGATACTTGCCTTTGGTGCACCATGATTTTTGACATTAAAAGTCAGATACAGAGTTTTTCAGTACTATTTAAATTAGCTTATTAAAGAATTGAAAAGCATGTTTTACAAGTAAAGACTGAAAACTACACTTTGATAAGCTCTTTCTCTTTTAAAGAAGTTGCTTGGAGTTTTTTTAAAGCTCCTTTAGGAATTAAATGGTGAGGCCACTCTAGTGTTAAAAGGAGAAAGGTATTTTCTGGCAACTAAGGTTGCTGCTATTTTGGTGATTGCATAGGTTAATTAAATAATTTGTGCTCATCTTTAGCTTGCCATTTTAGTGTTCAATTTTACTGAAACCTTTTTCTATCTGTGGGAACATTGAAAAGATGACATTTTGTGAGGTGGAAAAATTTTTCCCATAACAAATTATTGTGGAAAGCATTTTATTTCAGCTGTTCCTGTATACATATATACATACGCACACACTTTTAAATCTTTAAAACAGATCAAAAGCATTCACAGCATGAAAGCATTGAAGTGTAATTTTCGTGTATCAAAATTTCCTTTTTCTTTTAACGTTTCTTAAAAAAGTCAGCTTTTAACTATTAAAAAGCTGTACTTGTGTAAGGTTTAAAAAAAATCAAACAGTACGGACGAATTTATAAATGAAAAGCAACAGTCTCTTGCCCTAGCCTTTTCTATCCCAGTTCTGTTCCCAGACTGTTATGTGTTTTGTGTTGAATTCTTCTGGTGGATACTTCAATATTTTAAAATATACTTGCACCAGTTTCTTGTTTTGTTAACTTTAGATTGAGGATTTAGTATATGTTGGTAGATGTTAGGTGAGGGTGTAGTTTATCACACCTACTGTTGCCCTTGTCCTACTTCCAGTACAGTTATATCAGTATTTTAAATCATGCCGTTGGTTACCTTTGTGACTGTAATATACTTAAAGTTATATTTCTGTTTTATGAACTTATAGACAGTATCACTTCAGTCTCTGTTTGATAAGGTGAGGCAATTAGTGCCCCATCTTTTCTTTCATTTCTTTCTCACATTCCCTCAGCTTCTGTTCTGGTGAATTTAAAATAAAAATTAAGATTGATGATATTTACATTCCATTTTATAACCTTATGAAGTCTGTTGTACTGTTTACTAGTGGTTGATTGCAAAAGCTGAACAGTTATACAGTATAACTCTGTGCATATTTTTCACAGTAGAGGCAAGTCTACACTGGGTAGGATTGTGTTTCTTTTCCTGTGGGCCATAGTTATGGTCCCTTTGTAAGGATCTTGAAAAGAGGATGTCCAAATGAATTCTCCTTTCTTACATTCTACAAATTGGTCAAAGCGATGCTGCGTTTTAGTTTTTTTTCTTTTTTTTTGAGAAAGAAACATATACATTCTTCATTATTCCCTGATTCCTGCCCTGAAGTCCCTTTTTTTTTTCGGATTGTCTTTCTTTCTAGTTTTGGTTTTTTGCTTCACATTTGAACTGTGATTCTCTTGTACATCTGCCCCCTCTCCCAACATGTCTGAAGTTTCTAACTGCCTTTTTTTCCCCCATCTGCGCCTTTATTATATCTTCGGTTGTACCCTCAATCATACCATCTATTCTACAGAATTCTTTTTTCCTGGAAAGTGTCCTCTTGGCGACCTCTAGTCTCCTAGTCCAATCTGGACAGCTGGCATAGAATTCCCTTTCACAGCTCTCCCAAGATGTATCTATTCTCTCTTGAATTTCATGCTTTATGCTTTCTTGGTTTTCATTCTTGTTTTGCTGGTGCACATTCTCAAGTAATTTCCTTTGAGGGTGTCATTAGGAAGTAAACTTTCTGAGTCCTCATATGACTAAAATGTCTGTTTCTCTTCGCAAACTTGTGCTGCCAGGTGGTCCAGAGTCCACACTTTGAGTAACAGGGTTCTAGGAGATATCCTCAACACTGTATTTTCTTCAGGGCCAGTTTTTTAATTTATTTAAATCTTTGTCATGCCCCAGAATTTTCTTAGCTGTTCGGTGATTCTTGGTTTCCTTTTTATATTTAAGATGAGGCCGTAGAGGCGCTTATTGACAGGTTTCTCCTTTATGTGGGTAGATAGGGAGCTGGCTCTTATACTGGAGGACCCTTGAAAACCAGTATGTGGGAGTTTTGCTTTGGGGTGCCAACATC